AGGCGCGGGAAGCCGAGGCGTTTCTCTGGCGCTCCCCATCATCCTCCGTTCGTCGGCAAAGCGGCCGCCCCTGAAGCGGGCGCGGGCGGAGCGGAGAGGCCGGGGTTGGGGCTCCCGCCGAAAAGCCTCCCGTTCACACGTTACGCCGGCCCCCGTCCGCACCTTCCTTCCCGCCTTTGTGGCGAGCACAACAGCCGAGCCCCCAAACGGCCAGGGGTTTGAAAATAGGGAATACCCTCCAGCTCCTCTTTTCTGGTGAAAGAAAGAAAGAAAGAAAGAAAGAAAGAAAGAAAGAAAGAAAGAAAAAGAAAAGGCGGGCGCGCGTCGGGAGAGCGAGGAGGGAGGTGTCTTCGGAAGGCCGAAAACTTTTCCTTTGGGGTTTTTGGGGCACATGCTCGTGCGGTGGGGAAAATGTGGATGAGCATCATCAGCATCCGCGTTGCCGGAGAGAAAGTCCCCCATCCTGCTTTGGTGGGTCCGTTAATCGACACGGTACAGCTCCTCCCCAACCCCGCTCCCTACACGTGTGCACGTCCCTGCCCGTTGGGATTAACACCTCATGCTTCTGAAGAAGTGGATTCTTGCTGTTTTTTGTTGTTTAGTCGTGTCCGACTCTTTGTGACCCCATGGACCAGAGCACACCAGGCCCTCCTGTCTTCCACTGCCTCCCGGAGTTGGGTCAAATTCATGCTGGTTGCTTCGATGACATTGTCCAGCCATCTCATCCTCTGTCGTCTCCCTTCTCCTCTTGCCTTCACACTTTCCCAATATCAGGGTCTTTTCCAGGGAGTCTTCTCCAGGGCAAATGGAAGTGGATTCTAGCCTAGGACAGATGATGCTGTAATAGAGTAATGAATCAGCTGGTGTAGAAGATGGCCCCAGGCTCTTGGGTGGGTGTGATGGGGTGCAGGATGGACCATGTGGGACAGTCCACTCAAACCCTCTGCTACCAGAGGCCCATTTTGCAAAACTGGGGCTGGAAGGAGGAGCCCTGGTTTTCTTCCTGCCTTTCCCTATCAGGTCTTGTTTCCTCCCCTTCTTTTTTTGCAAGAGGGACAGAAGCCACCAGAGCTTCAAAACAGAAAGTTTGACTCTTGCTACCTCTTGTCAGGTCGCATTCAAACTGAAGTGACCCTAATAGGGTTTCTAAGGTATGAGAGATATTTAAGGAATGCCAGTTTGATCATTGCCATCACCCCCCCCCAATGAGTTTCCCTGCCTGAACTAAACTGAAGTGACCCTAATAGGGTTTCTAAAGTATGAGAGATATTTAAGGAGTGCCAGTTTGATCATTGCCATCACCCCCCTCCCCAAATGAGTTTCCCTGCCTGAACCGGAGTTTGAACCAGTTCTCCTGAATCCTAGTCCATCTTTCTGTCCACGATTCCAGGCTCCTTCTCTTACCTCCATCACTTTGATGGTGTTCAGAGAAGCAACCCTTTCTCAGCTCAGGGTCCAGGCTCCCTTGGTGGAACAATACTCATTTATGATATGGCCTTGTTTTAGGTGAGCTACATTTTGGACGTTCAAATGATGCAGCATAAATGATCATGGGGGGGGGGAAGAGGTGTGAGTGGGTGTGGCTCCTTCTTGCAGTTTCTTACCCCTGTATGGGAATAATAATAAGAATCTCGCCTCTAGCTATATACTGGTGGACTGGTTTTTCCCCCTTCTTGGTATTTATAAAAGGAAGTAAACGTTCAAATGATGCAGCATAAATGATCATGGGGGGGGGGAAGAGGTGTGAGTGGGTGTGGCTCCTTCTTGCAGTTTCTGACCCCTGTATGGGAATAATAATAAGAATCTCGCCTCTAGCTATATACTGGTGGACTGGCTTTTTTCCCCCCTCCTTGGTATTTATAAAAGGAAGTGAAAATTAACTTGGGACTTCATGCATTAGAAATGGAAGGACAAAAATGGGTGCTGAAAACAAACCAGGGAGAGAGAGGCTATGTGTATGTATGTGGTTTCCAGGATTTCACTTTACAAAGAAATTACCTTTTAACTAACATTCTCCAGGAACTTTGGGAGGGGAAAAAAGTGTCTTTAAGTGTAGTGTATTGGATGTATCCTGGGGGCCTCCTGCCATATTTCAAACAGGAGCAAACTGGTATGTATAGTAGGAAGTCTGTTTTTCAGGACTGCATTCTTGAGAGGTTTTTCAAACATCCTCTGTTCAAGCAGCAGTGATAGTAACTGAGTACCAGATGGAGACGCCTTAACCTAAAGCCCCTTATCTCATTCATGCAACCGTCCATCCAGGCAAATAGTTATTGTACTCCACCAGGAGATCACAGTCAAAACCGTGTGGAAAAGCAGTAGAGAGAGCCATTCGAAGGAAAGTCTATGGATGGGGGAAGGTTTGAGGAAGAGAAACCAGAACTCCTTGGGAATCTTTGCTCTCCTTCCTTCCCTTCCTCCCTCTCTTTCTCGGTGCTAGAGAATAAAGACAACACTACTGGTGACGCAGTTCATTTGTCTGATTCTTAATGGCTTCTCAGGAACATTTTCCCACACTCAGAAATCCAGCTGCTGTACTTCCATGGCACACTTCAGGTTTGCTTAAGATTAGGAAGCAAGAGAAGTTGAGAATTCCAAGATGCATGGCCACAGGAGGTTGCTACAGCAAAACTATGGGAAAAAACAGTCTCGCAGTACTGTGAAGAAACTATTATGGCTTAAAGCCTGTTTCAACTGATGCACGGAGTAGACAAAAAAAGGTGGACGCTACCAATGTGAGCTAGTTTTGGGTGAGAAAGCGATAGCGCAGTTTGAGGATAAAAGGGCCTATGGATCCAAGGTATAGATATGGAGGATTGTAGGCAGCCCAGATAGGGGAGAGAAATTGTCCTGGAGAAACACTGAAATGAAATTGGATCTTTGAAGGAGGGCTTCCCCACCCCCGCTTGTAGTCTTTTGAAACCTTTGAATAAATCAGTAACTTTCATGAAAGCCTAGCATTGGTTCTGCAGACTTGCAGTTTTACATAAAGAATCAGTAACTTTCATGAAAGCCTAGCATTGATTCTGCAGACTTGCTGAGCAGTTTTGGATGATTTTGGAAAGAGAGAGATAGTGATTATTTTTATGCCTGTAACAGAGATGTCGCTGAAAGTAAATGCTGACCGTATGAAGGCACTCTTATACATCATCGCGAGGTGGAAGGTTGGAGGGGAGGGAAGGAAGGAAGAATGGGGCTTGATTGACTTTTCCTGTTCAGTTTTTTTTTAAACTGCATGCCAGTAAACAGATGTTGCACATGAGAAAATGACTTATATGTGGTTACTTTCAGAATGTGTCTGTGCTCAAGATGTGACTTGGCTTCTTGGTCTGGTTTCTCTTAACTGGTTTCTAATTCTAATGGGCTAATGCGTTGTATTGTTGTCTTTTGCAGTGGAAGCCCCCCACGTCACCCCCAAGTTATGTTGATGAAATAGAGGAAAGTTGCATTTATCACTTTAAATGCATAAAACTCTTGGCTGTTACCCAGTGTGACTGTGAGACCTAGGATTTAGACCCTGTTGCTTTCTGAAACTGAACAGGGAAAGGATCCAGTGGAAGGAACCACCAGCCACCCTTGAGCCCTATAGATTCACAGATCAATCTGAAGTTGTAGAAAACCCACAACTGAGAGAATATCTGTAATAATCTATTCTCCTTTTGGACATTGACATAAGCCTTAAGGCAATCAGTCTGAGAAGTTGTTATGACTTAGAAAAGTACGTTTTGGTTTTTTCTCTCCCTTGTGCCAGTGGCAAATTGTTTGTATTCATTTGTGGGCAAAAAAAGAGAGAGACTAATAATACCTGAAAACTTTTTTGGGGAATCTGACGAACTTTGACAAGGAGGGGTTTTTAAACATGCGGTTCTGATATTGTGTCAAGTCTTCTTTAAGGAAGCTCAGGTGTCATTTCATGAGCTTATGAACAAACATGGTTTCTTAAGGACAACACTAGAATTTTTTTTTTTTTTTTGGCCAACTGTTGTTTGGCGTCATGCTGGACTGTATGAACGAGAGTTGGAGTTGTGTCTCTTAACATGCTAATCAGAAAGTAATCCTTGGAAATTAGGTCTTTGGAACAGCCATATATGGAGTTCACCAACTAATTATCCTACCTCTTTCCATTTTGGTATGATGATGGTTGTCCAGTGGCCTTGTTGACTGTATATGCATCGGCTCCTCTTATCTGATTCTTTCTTGCAATATCTTTACTGGATCCAGGCTATTGTGCTGCTGCTCTGACAAACAGGTTAATGAGGTTAATAGTTAATAAGGTACTAGATGTCAATTGGGCAGATTACTTTTTCTGTTTGCTTTGATTTGGGCTTTATTACTGGTTGTAAAGAAAGAGTATGAACCGAATGCATGAGGATTCAAACAACAATTAGTTCAGCTTGGTTAACTGAACTACGATAACATTCTTGAGTCATCACATCTGCAAGCTGCCATGGTCTGGTAAGATGACAGGATGCTGATTAAAAAGCATGCATATAAAATAAGTGGAATAAATGTTATTAAGCCAACTCATCCATTTTCTGGATAATAACATTTGTTCCAGTTACTTGTACAAGTAACATTATCTCAAATATAACATTCTCCTCACTTGTAACCAGAACAGTTACTGTTGTTGCCAGCTGCAAGAAGTATTCTATCAGTCTCAGACTTCATTTATTTTTATTTTAAGCTTTGGTCCTCAGTCTTCTCAAACTAAAAACCAAAAATGCATTTCAGACTCAGCGTTCTGTGGAAGACGCAGCTAATATGTTGGTCCTGGGGGGCAACCAGAACAAAGGACAA